TGTGTGTAGAGAAGATTGGTTCTATTAGATATGAGTTTGACATTGATCAATTAGGAAAATGTATAGTTGATATAATATGTATCTAAATAAATGAAAAGAATTCATTTAATTGAATATCATTATTTATAATTTATAAGCTAATAGAGTTTAACTAGATTTATTGTAACATAGTAACTTAATGAAGGTAATAATAGATGATAATTCAATTTTATAAATTGATGACAATTAGACAGGGTTGAACGGTGAATGCTGGTGAGTGGTCTATGCTCCTTTACGAGGAGTAACAGGAGTAAGTAAGCTAATAAGATATTAACACAGTTGAATATTGACACAATGATCTCGACGTGAAGTGTTCGCATACAAGATCAAAATAGAACAATGTATCTGAGAAGATAGTTAATATTATATGGAATTCCTATAATGGATTTAATGGCAAAATCGTGAGTGAAGGATGTAGATGTGAAGGGACGGATTGGAAAAGCAAAAGTAGCATATTTACAATTAAACAACAAATCGAATTGAAAACAATTGGCAACCAACAGTAAGGTTAGAATCTTCAATACAAATTTTAACACAGTTAGTTCTACTGTATGAGAGGGAAACTTGGAGAACTACCACAACCATCATCCACAAGATACAAGTGTTTATTAACAGTTGTCCATGCTAAATATTTCGGATCCGTTGGTAAGACACTATCAGCATTAACCTATTGTGCGAGAGAAGAGAACAAATTCGAGTGGAGAAAGAAATCAGGAAGAAGTGCTGGAAGTGGATGGGCTACACATCGAGGGAATCACTCAACTGCGTTGCAAAGAAAGCCCTCACATGAAATCCTCAAGGCCAAAGGAAAAGAGGAACACCAAACAACACATTACGCCGAAAAATGAAGGCAGACATGAAGAAAATGAACAAAAATTGGATAGAACTGGAAAGAAAGGCCCAGGACACAGTGGGTTGTAAAATGCTGGTCAGCGGCCTATGATCCATTAGGGTTAATCGGCTTAAGTAAGTAAGAACGGGCTCAACTTACATTTTGTTCTTTCATTAATCACTAATTAATAAGCCCAAAGAAAAATGTGCTACTAATTTAATAGAAATTGTGCAAATTACTTTCAATTCTTGAATTTCTATTGGCTTTATTCATGAAATCGACAGGTCGATTAATTGAAATAGGATCATAACCACACTGTCCCTCATAAGATTCAAATATATAAAGAACGTAATCAAACATTTTGCATGATTGTCAGAAGGAGATTTTGTAGAGATTTTAGTATTTTTATAGTTGAATTTTCAAGTGAATTAAAGCTAGACCACTATGGAAAACCTGGAAGCACTAGACGAACGTTTCGTCCTAGTATGGAACTCCTCAAGAGTGCACATCCAAGATCCCACCCTGAGAGATTAATTAAAGTTAATTAAAATCTACTTGGTTTTAACAATTAGAAAGAGGCACTGGAAGTGGATCCGTTGGTCAGCAACAACCTACTATGAGAGAGAACATTACACATTCCCATGTATGAAGAGATCAGGAAGAAGTGCTAGAAGTGGATAGGACACACATTAGGGGATGCACTCAACTGAGTCACAAGACAAGCCCTCACATGAAATCCTTAAGGTGAAAGGAGAACAGGAAAACCAAAGAATATATCACGCCGAGAAACGGAGATGGACAAGAGAATAATGAACAATAATTGAAGGGAACTAGAAAAGAAGGCCCAGGACAGAGTGGGTTAGAGTATGCTGGTCGGCGGCCTATGATCCATTGGGAGTAACAGGTGTAAGTAAGTAAGTAAGTAAGTAAGTAAGTAAGTAAGTAAGTAAGTAAGTAAGTAGTTAAGTAAGTAAAGTTTTAACAAGCCAAATTTCACATATATCTCCCTAGATTGGTAACAATTATTGATTTTTTCATAAAGAAAACATAAATGATTTAGTTAGAGCAACTTTGGATAAGAAAAAAAAATATTTTTTTTTTGTCCTGTGTAAATTAATCCCATCCACTTTACAATGACGTGTCCTTAAAATTCCAATCTATTATGACTTTTAGTGATAAGAAATGAAGTATTACGATAAGTAATCTAATATGTTTAACAAAAAAAAAATAAATAAATAAAAGATAATTGGAAAGTCAGACTCTATCTGGATCCTCAGAATGAAATCATGGATGGTGGTTGAAGGTAGTTAACAAGAAACCCTAAATCTAGATTTCATGCTATTTGGTATCTGTCAACAAGGTGTACTTGTATTCATGAAAGAACTGATGCTACTTAACAGATTTGATTCCATGTCATCAAACTTCACAGTTAAAGACGTTATTAATGAGTTATCAGGGCAGTGACGGACATCTTGTAGACTAGTGGCCACATTACATAAACCAGTTATAGGTATAGCCGTACTATTGTGAAATCGATTGGATGAACCAGTCTCATCTTGGCATATGTGCATCTTGTGAGAATTGCTTCGATATAATATTTAGTCATAAGCTTTTTAAGCAAACATGGATAGTGATTAGCAGTGAAACCTAGTTTGACACATGTTTCGACCTATTTGGGACTCGTCATCTGTACACACAGTAGCTGAGTGGAAAACGCGATGGCATTTGAAACAAATGATATTGGTATGAACATCAACTCTGAAATGCGAGTACATTCAGCTGAAGAGTCGTAAATAGGACGAAACGCTTGTCAAACTGAATTCCACTGTTAGCCACTATCCATCTTTGCTCAAAAGTATACATATATTGGAAAGATTGAACAATAAAAGACCAAACAAAGATTATCTATCATGCTGTTTAAAACAACATAGACATTAAGTTAGTTAAAGATTAACAAAAATCATTTATATATTACCACCAACTGTGTGTATTAATTTACATGGTGTTTATTCTATTAACTAAACTTATGGAACAGAAAAATAGAAAAGTTTCCTAGACATTTTTCTATATATATATATATATATATGTATATCTATATTTACTCAAGGTCAAAAGAAAAGAGGACAACCAAAGAACGCCAAGAAATGGAAACAGACATAAAAAATAAACAACAGTTGGAAGACCGAGGACAGAGTGGTTTGAACAATGATGTTTAATGTCCAACGCTTCATTAGGGTCAACAGACATAAGCAAGTAACTATGTGTTATATATTGAGTGGCCGCCGAGTAGATGGGCAGTGAATTATCGAGGCTGAGATTTGCGTTTTGGACTTAACTGGCTGGGCTAGGAGAAAAAACAGGGCCAATTAGAACTCTAGGCCGCTCGCACGTGTTTTACGCATCTTTGATCCGATCGATAACTCACTGTCCATCTACTCGGCGGCCCCTTAATACTATGGACATAAAATATCGTCTATCTCTTCAATAGGACTCAAAAGTGAGATGTTTCTTTTCGTTCTATGAAATAACTGACTGAATTTTATATGAATTCTTAAAAAAGGATCATGTGTACTGACATTTATTTCTAATCAATTTCCTCTTTATAACAGCAGGTTATACACTAATCATAACTTTCATTATTCAATAGCAGTGTGATGTGTGCTACTGATGTCGACAGATATGAGTAGTATGTATCATCAGTCAAATGTGGAATGCTTGGAGGCAGAAGGTTAGGAAGATCAAAGAAAAGAGAACGAGAATATAGAATGATTGGCGTGGAAATGAACGAACAATAAAGTCTGTAACAATTAACTATTATTTCGCAAATGAAGTATTCAGTGTATGGTTTTCAGATTTTACTAAGAGATTCTGTAATTTTGTGTTGAAATACATCTAAATGTCCCCATTTCGCTTCTCTCAACATACACAAGGGGAAAACCAAAGTCCTCAAATGCAACACGGAGAACAGCAATCCAATCACACTTGATGGAGAAACTCTGGAAGATGTAGAATCATTGACATACCTCGGAAGCATTATCGATGAACAAGGAGGTTCAGATGCAGACGTAAAAGCGAGCATTGACAAAGTAAGGGCTGCATTCCTTTAATTAAAGAACACATGGAACTCAAAACAACTGTTTCTCAACCTATATCAAAGTCACAATCTTCAATACGAACATCAAGACAGTCAGTCCTACTGTATGGAGCAGAAACATGAAGAACTACAACAATCATCATCAACAAGGTACAAGGATTTATCAATAGTTATCTACGTAAGATACTCAACATCCATTGACTGGATACCGTCAGCAACAGTCTACTGTGGGAGAGAACAAACCAGCTTCCAACTGAAGTGGAGATTAGGAAAATTCGATGGAATTGATGGATAGGACATACATTACGCAAATCATCGAACTACATCACGAGATAAGCCCTAACATGGAATCCTGAATGGAAGCGGAAATGTGGAAAGTCAAAGAACACATTATATGGGGAAATAGAAGCAGATATGAAAAGGATGAATAAGAACTGGAAAGAGCTGGAAAGGATTGTGCAGGACAGTGTTGGATGGAGAATGCTAGTTGGGTGTTCTGTGCTCCTTCACGAAGAATAACAAGCGTAAGTAATTAATTAAGTATATGGGTTCTCACTCACAGCAATAGTTATAATAATGAAATAAAAATATAGAAATTCTTCAAAGGTACCAATACCATGGTTGAACTTAATAGATTCAAATAAATTGAGCATTGAACAGAGAGTTATTAATCAATATATTTTTTTGTTATTTACACTGAAGAAGTGACTTACATCAAGTTACGAAACATTAGAAATACAACTTAGATTAATTTGATTTGTTGATGATTTCCATCACAAACTAATATCAATTACACTTTCTAACTCATCAACCACTTGTAATCATGTACTTACTAATGATTAACTTAGAAATGTCATATTTTAGCCCTAATGAAAATTCTATTCAAACATCTGAATTGTCAGATTGTACCTCAAAGGTTAAATTGTTTACTGTCATATCTGAAGATCTTGCTCATGATCGATAGTAAGGTGATAGATGTGCAGGTTTTTTTGAAAAATCCCATACTCGAAAATAATGAATTGTTACTAATCTTAAATGTATAATCGTACATCTATCATTGTCCATCCAACATGGAAACTACTTCAGTTTATCAAGTTGTTAATTTCAAACAAATTACATTGTAAAAAGTACAATATTGAAAAGGTAGATTTTTTTGATTTGTTTAATTAAACATGAAAATACATTTCTACCTGAAGTTTATGCTGATAATGTTGTTCAAAAGAACGATGAAAGTACCAATGACCAAATCAATTAACTTAAAGAATAAAACTTCATCATGATATAAGTTTTTATTCATCTTCCCCTATATACTTAATTCATTTGTTTACATTTATTATATTTACTTACTTACTAACTTACACCTGTTACTCCATATGGAATATAGACCGACAACTAGCATTCTACAACACACTCTGTCTTCGGACTACTTTTCTAGTTCCATCCAATGTTTGTTGATTTTTCTTATGTCTATCTCCATTTCTCAAAGTAATGTCTTCTGTGATCTTCCTTTTCTCCTCATTTGGCCTTGAGGATTTCAAGTGAGGGCTTGTCACGTGACGCAGTTCTCTCCCATAGTACGTTGTTGCTAATAGTGTCCAGCCAATGGATGTGAAGTATTTTGCGTAGACAACTGTTCATAAACACTTGTATCTTCTGGATGATAGCTTGCGTAGTTCTTTGAGTTTTCATGCAATACATTAGAACTGTCTTAACATTTGTATTGAAAATTCTGACTTTGGTGTTAGTTGCCAATTGTTTTGAGTTCCAGATGTTCTTTAGTTATAAATTTGCTGCCCTTGCTGTCTGTTATGACCTTGATTTGTCTACCCACTTTTTGGTGCCGAGGATACTTGTCTAATATAGATTTCGACCTTGATGCGATAGGCTGATCGGCTTAACCTTGAGACTAGTACGCGTGAGTTCGAGATGGGGTAGAGAGAAGAAAACTATTCTGGCACCTGATTGGTGGGCAAGTACACAAATGAGAGACAAGACAACTGGAACACTACTCGATCTATTTCCCTGACCACTGAACTCACTGAATTCAGATTAGTGTAAAAAGGTACATGAATAAATAAGTGAATAACCCGACCGCAACATACAATAATTAGGAAAAATACAATTATGTCCAAAGTTGGGAATTAGAGTAGAAAATAGGGTGCAAAATAATATGTTTTAATTACAATAGCTTCGGAACAGAAAAAGGTATGGCAGTGAATGATACATCGAACGAGAGCTTATGTTCTGTAGAATAGATTAGGGACAAAAATAAATGTCAGGGTTTTACAAACTTTGAATAAACTGAAATAACGTCCCGAAAAATAGCCTTCGTAGTTTGTCAGGGCTTCTTGTTTCCCGGTTCACATCACTTTCGCGATCCGCGCCTTCACATCTGCATCAGATCCACCATGTTCATCAATCATGCTGCCCAAATCTATAAAGGTGTTTACATCTTTCAAAGCTTCTGCGTCAATTGTGATTGGATTGGTCAATGTTGTGTTGTATCAGAGAATCTTGCTTTTCCCTTTGTGTATATTCAGACCTACTGCTGGTGCTGCTGCTGAGGCTGCTGCTACACTGATCGTATTCTCCTGAATTTGTTGTTGCGTATGCGATAGAAGAGCCAGATCATCTGCGAAATCTAGATCATCCAACTGCATCCTAACTGTCCACTGTATCCCGTGTTTCCCTTTAGATGTTGACGTCTTCATGATCTGCTCGATCACCAGAAGAAAGAGAAAGGGTGGGAGTAAGCAACCTTGCCTGATATCGGTCCCGTAGAAAACTAACTCGCTAAAAAAAAACGCTAACCAGAAAAATTTCTTATATTTATTGATGATAATATTTTGAATTTGGTTCCTTCCCCCCTCTGTATAAAAACAAACAAACAAACAAATAAATAAATAAATAAACAAATCTAATTACCTTCACAGTTTGTCTCTCATTTATTTGAATTAAACTATCAATCAAACTATAGACATTGATTTATATTTACATTATCAAGTAGAACCATATGTGAATTCCTTCTTTGTTTATTAAAGAAAACACTCATTGTTATTTTGGTCGTCGTTGTTGTTGTTGTTGTTGTTGTTGTTGTTGTTGTTGTTGTTGTTGTTGTTCTAAATTCATCTCAATGATTTTCATTTAGTTGTAAAGAGATAGTATAGTTGTTGAATTGGTTGAAGTTAAACATTAACATCATTAGATGCCGTCCGACTCAATGGTCTAGAGGTTAAGCATTCGCATGGGCAAGATATATAGGTTGTGGGTTTAAATCTCGCAAGGCAAGATCATGGATACGAACTGTTTAAGAGTCACGTAATAGAACGAAACGGCAGTTGAATACTTCCAAGTTTTCTATAGTGGTCTAGCTTTAATGGACTGATGATTTCAACTATTAAAATTACTATAATATCCATGAATGCTCCTTCTGATATTCATGTCGTTTACCATTCAAGTTTCATCATTATTTTCACATACATTCTTAGCATAATAATGTAGAATCGAATACTTCTTTATTGTTTACTTAACTAGATATTCAATCCAATTAAACTATGATTGAACATCAGAGTTTGTTCCATTAAAAAAAAACGATGAAATTTGTAGTGTCCGTTACTATGTTAAGCCTACACAGCTTATTCTAGCTACTTGATAAACCAATTTAATCATTCTAATTGAGTCACATTTTGATCTTATTAATTTAATCGCTTATCAACCTTGACTAGTTTTATATGAGCTAATGTGTGTACATCTTATTCTATTCATCACATGTCTATAGCTTATTTTTATCTAATAACATTCAACCAATATCAAAGTCACAATCTTCAATACGAACATCAAGGCAGTCAGTCCTACTGTATAGAGAAGAAACATGGAGAACTACAAAAATCATCATCAACAAGGTACAAGGATTTATCAATAGTTATCTACGTAAGATACTCAACATCCATTGACTAGATACCGTCAGCAACAGTCTACTGTTGGGAGAGAACAAATCAGCTTCCAACTGAAGTGGAGATTAGGAAAATTCGATGGAATTGATGGATAGGACATACATTACGCAAATCATCGAACTACATCACGAGATAAGCCCTAACATGTAATCCTGAATGGAAGCGGAAATGTGGAAAGTCAAAGAACACATTATATCGAGAAATAGAAGAAGATATGAAAAGGATGAATAAGAATTGGAAAGAGCTGGAAAAGATTGTGCAGGACAGTGTTGGATGGAGAATGCTAGTTGGGTGTTTTGTGCTCCTTCACGAGGAATAACAGGCGTAAATAAGTAACAAATATCGATTCAGTCTTGATCAAATCGAGTTGACTCACTCGCCTTCTCCATTGCATGCCATTTTGCTTCGTTCCTCTGATTGTCTGTTCATATCAATGAGTGTACGAAATATACATATTCAAACAACTATTCTCGTATTTCAGTTATTTATTGACTAACGCGACTTAAGTTGATGCTTATATACGAGGATTGACGATTTGTATATTACGATATCAATCCTTTGTCCGATCCAACTAAAGTCAGATATATGGCCACTAACACAGCAAACTACGTCAATAAAGAACCTGCACTTCATAATTTCGACGAACGAACTCAGCGAAGCCAGCTCAATTAATTAACAACACAAATTTTGAGCATACAACCAAATCAGAGAGAAAGAGACAGATTACGGCACCACTAAAGTGGTGAGATCTTCGACAACATGAATCGATCTAATTGACGTCAAAATGAAGGGTTTCACTAAAAATCTATCAAAGAAGTAAGAATAGTGATATGTATTATTATTATTATTATTATTTGTATGTACATCATTTACATTTTACTTAATTCGTTAACAGTCTATTAACTATTCATATAATGTCACTGATATAGTTTGTAGTTTTTGTTACCATCCAAAATTAAGTTAACATTTAACTAAGATTGAGAGAGAATAAAAATGAGTTTGGTTTTAATAGTTGAATTCATGAGTCGACTAAAGGTAGACCATCACTGAAAATCTATAACTACTAAATGGGCATTTCGTTCTAGTATGATACTCCTCAACAGTGTGTATTCACGATACCATACGAAAAGGACTCGAACTCGGGAGATTCATTCTTGCCAGTGAATGCTTAACCTCTAGACCAATCAGCAGGTATTCAATGATGTTATTATCTAACTTCAACTGATTCATGATCTTGCTCTACCTTTCATTCATTATCTGATTAACTCATGAATTCAACTGTTAAAATAGTACAATCTCCACACAAACATACACGTCCATATACTGATAATAGAATTTTGTTTTAAATTGTAAATTAATATTAAACTTTTAATTGGTTGTTTCTAAACAGAGTGGATAGTACCTAGTAGTGGAATCCAAGACACAAATTTTGTCCTATTTCGGACACTTCCTTTGGATGTACCTGCATCCCAGAGTTAATGTTCACTCCGAGACTCGAACCTAGTATTTTTCGCTTCGAATGCCATCGCGTTCTCAAATTAGATACTGAGTCCTGATAGACACTTACTTGTGCAATGGGGTGTAATTTAAATTCACTTGTGATTTTATTTCTATCTTCCTATTGTTATTTAGGACTGCAATTGATCAATCACATGTTAGTATATGTGAACCCTGTCCGGATTCCCTTGATATAGCCTACTACTACTAGTACTACTACTACTACTACTACTACTACTACTACTACTACTACTACTACTACTACTACTACTACTACTACTACTACTACTACTACTACTACTACTACTACTACTACTACTACCACTACTACTACTACTACTACTACTACTACTACTACTACTACTACTACTACTACTACTACTACTACTACTACTACTACTACTACTACTACTACTACTACTACTACTACTACTACTACTACTACTACTACTACTACTACTACTACTACTACTACTACTACTACTACTACTACTACTACTACTACTACTACTACTACTACTACTACTACTACTACTACTACTACTACTACTACTACTACTACTACTACTACTACTACTACTACTACTACTACTACTACTACTACTACTACTACTACTACTACTACTACTACTACTACTACTACTACTACTACTACTACTACTACTACTACTACTACTACTACTACTACTACTACTACTACTACTACTACTACTACTACTACTACTACTACTACTACTACTACTACTACTACTACTACTACTACTACTACTACTACTACTACTACTACTACTACTACTACTACTACTCACATCTGATCAACTTTTATTGAATGTAAATATAGTAATAATAACCAGAAATACTACTAATCTATCTATAGAGTGTCTTGTTTCCTTTTTTTTGTTTTTCTCCTTTCTTTTTCAAATTAATGAAATATACATTATGTCAATCAAATAAGCCTATGGAAGTTTTGTTATTCCTTTTAAAATTAACCAATTTTACATTTATACTAACTACTACTATTGCTGCTAGAAATAATAGTAGTAGACATAATTGTCATTGTAATATACATGATTCTTAGCATGAAATCAGTGATTAGGGCAATATAAGCAACAATTGTATGTGTGCGAATGTGTGTGTGTGTGCCTGTGTGTGAGTGTGTATCACACTAATGTACACAGACCGATAGACAACTAGTTTGCTTTATATTTTGTCCTTTCGTTTTTAAAAGGTTTCACACTCTATAAGACATACAGAGGCTTGGATTATTATTATTATTATTATTATTATTATTATTATTATTATTATTATTATTAGTTATTTATTATTATTTATTTGAACACATAAATATTGGTACAAAGGGGCACCAAATATATATGCGCCACACAAAACAATGATAATTTGAAGAGAAGGAGAAAAGAGAAAAAAAAGTAATGAACGTGGGGAATTATAAAAAAAAAGGGAGAGAGAGAGAACAATGGTGGGGGAAACGGAAAGGTACAATCAGAAGAGATCTTTCAGTTAAGGAAGATACAACCACTTTTTATGAAGAAAGTAAGAGGTTACAGCACGATCGCCACTGGCTTCTATTCTTAGCCATATCTGATAACGTCTCTAGCCACTGCGTTACACCGTCTCTCGGACCCAAACCAGGGAGTCGTGAAGGACCAACAGAAGCTAGCCCTTTGCAGCTTTCTTTCATACCACGACACCATGTCATATACTGACCACCTCTCCGCTTTTTCCAACCAGTCCCAGAGTCGGCAAATAATGCACGACGTGGAATTCTCTGGGACGACATTCGTAGAACATGTCCAAGCCACCGAAGTCGATGTTTCTTGATGGTGACACCAATGGAATTATCGTCTCTGTGACCGAACACACGATGCCGAAACTCTGCATTACTGACATGGTGTTGCCACTGGATGCCAGCAATCCTTCGGAGACAACGATGATCGAACACAGAGAGTCGTCTAACATCATCAACTCGGAGAGGCCAGGTTTCACAAGCATAGAGCAAAACTGCTCTCACCGTCGCGTTGTAGATCCGACCTTTTACAGCCAGACTAACATCACGAAGGCGCCAAAGATGGCCCAGATTGGCATAAGCCGCTCTGGCTTTCACTATACGAGCATTGATCTCATCACTCACACCACCACCAGCACTTATGCAGCTACCTAGATACACGAACTTCTCGACTACTTCAATTTGCTCACCATCCAGAGTGAGTACAGGATTAGAATCCTGCCAGTCTTGTAGAAGTACTTTGCACTTCGAAGGTGCAAAGCACATACCATACCTGAATTTTCACCATAGGTGAGCTGCTGTCTAGGTCGAAACGCATATATAAAGTAGGAATAAGAGAGGGTGGATAAATGACGTGGTAGAGTAATAATAATAATAATAATAATAATAATAATAATAATAATAATAATAATAGCAATAATAATAATAATAGTACGAGTTATTTCAATGTTAATCAGATAGAAAGGAATATTTTCCATAAGCAAGTTGTTCATCATAGTTTTAGTGAGTGGGCTGGGATACTGCCCGGGTGCCCAAACCGAAGCAGGTGGTTTTCTTAGGGGGCCACACCTCGAGCCTTCGACCTGAACGTCTGACCCACAAGTCAGTGGAGCATCGTGAGGAGATGCAGTCCCATGGTAGCCGGTGACCAACGATTGCTTCATACGCCATTTGTTCCTTCAGGATCCTGGAGCCCATGTGCACCATTGGTTTGGGGTCCGGTTTAAGCGCCGGACATTCGCTTTTCGTCCTCTCATTTTCGTAAACAACACCCCCGCCACGAGAAGGCAGTGAGTAGGACTTCCCTGGAAGAGGCTGTATACGCGTGGCCGTGTGAGAGTATTTCGAGAGGGAGGGCGAACCCTCCCCGCTCTCGGCCATACCAGGGCATTTGGGGGTATTATTATTAGTAGTAATAGTAGTAGTGGTAGTAGTAGTAGTAGTAGTAGTATTGTTAGTAGTAGTAGTAGTTGTAGTAGTATTACTAGTAGTAGTAGTAGTTGTAGTAGTCGTAGTAGTAGTACTAGTATCATTCAAAGTAAAGAAACGGTTTTAGTCGAAAATGGTAGTTTTCTACATTTACCCATGTTTGTTTGGTTGGTTGGTTGTTTTTCATGCAAAAATACAATGCTGAATGCACACCAGGATATGAGTAACAAAATATTGTTTTTTTTGTGTGTGTGTGTGTGTGTGAAACAGAAGGAAGGAGGTAAATCAAATAAAGCGACTGTTACAGAAAACATCAATTGTAACAAATAAAAATGAATTATAAGTAATATCATTATATTTTATGGTTAATCATTGATAATTATTATTTTACTTACTTACGCTTGTTACTCCTTGTGCAGGAGCATAGGCCACCCATCAGCACTCTCTATCCATCCCTGTCCTGACTAATCCTTTCCAGATGTTTCTAGTTGTTATTCATCCTTTTCATATCTGATTCGATTTCTCGACGTATTGTAATCTTTGACTTGCCTCTTTTCCGATTCCCTCCAGGATTCTTTGTTAGGGCTTGTCTAGTGATGCAGTTTGGTGATTTCTGTAATATATACCTTATCTATTTCCATCGTTTTTTTCCTAATCTCCTCTTCAGCCTGTAGCTGTTCTAGAGTTACTGATGGTCTTAAGCCCAGGTAAAGGATAAGGGTTAGGCATTGGGTTTAGCGATCCTATCCTGTAGAAAACTAACTTGCTTGGGATAAATGATAATTTCAAGTACCGTATTATAGAATCATTTAGCACAGCGAATACAATACTGTTAAAATCCTTCTCTGACGCAAAAAAAATATCCTTCATAACACCTATCTTATTCTTCTAAATGAATGAATGAATGAATAACATTTTTATTGATGTTTTGTTGTCTGAGTTGAATAGTCTAATCTTGAAAAAGTTATTCTCTTTTAGAACAGCATCATCAACACATACTTCAATAATAACAGTCCATAAGATTGATCTTAACTTGAGTTTTGTGGTGTCGTATAAAATTGTCAAAGAGCGTATACTAAGGTTTATTAAAGAATTGGCCATACAAAAATTCAACCCCCCCCCACTTGTGTATTCAAAAAGCAGTTTGTTCTTACCTTAAACCTCCCCTGGTAATATTGACTTATTAGCCATAGTGATTAGGTTTCAAATTGTGTTCACATTATTATTATTATTATTACTCTTACTATTATCCTTGTCTCCTCTTACCCTTCATTTCTAGTCTAGTTGACTCACGATGTATATGTGTAATCAGATTGTTCTGAATGTATTGCTCTAATATATTATCACATAGTTCTGATCATCTTCGTCTTCTTATTACATTATCAAAATCGTACATTCATTTAACTTTTTGTCAACTAAAGCTATAAGCAAAATACATTTCATATTTAACATCACTACTAAAGACTAGAAAGCATTGAACGACTGTTTTGTCCTAACATGAGATTCCTCATCAGAGGATATCCAGAAATCTATTAAAAAACAACACAATACAGATCTCAATGGTTAAGATCATGAGTCAATTGAAGCTGGAACACTATGGAAGACCTGGAAACACTAAAAGGCCGTTCCGTCCTAGTATAAGACTCCTCGAAAGTTCAGGTCCACAAGCCCGCTAGTGAGACTCGAACCCAGGACCTATCGGTCTCGCGCCAGGCGCTTAACTAACTAGATCACTGAGCCGCCATCCGGCAGTGTTAATGTCTAACTTCGACCAATCCACGAAATTGAGTAACACATCCACCATTGTCTTCAGTGGCTTACTATCTCACAACTGACCCGACTGAACTCCACTGGTTACTGTTTCTCACTAGAACTCCAGAATATACCCCTTGAAGCCAGTCACTAGTAAGCATATGTTGATTAGTACCAGAAGGGGTTTTGTAGAGATTCTAGTAATTTCAATAGTTCAGAGCATGAATCAATTTATTACCATGGAAAACCTGGAAATACTGGATGGCCGTTTTGTCCTATTGTAGAACTCCTCAGCAGTGCGCATCCACGATTTTGCTCCCTACGATCTTGAGACAAAGCAATATGTAAAATGTCTTATTGGTTAAAATTGATGATATCTGAGGGTATAAAAGCATATTTTTTTCCTGATTGAAAATAAATAAACGTTTTTGGTGAGGTAGGAAATCTTCACAATTGTTTCTCATTAGATAGAAAGTAAACCATGTCACTATAATTAAATCAATATTTATAGAATACAAAACAATAAATAGACTTCAGTACATTCATTCAAAAACAATCTTAATGAATGTACCACACCCTGACATAACGTTCAATAGTATACACAAATAACAATAGTCAAAACAATAATAATAATAATAATAATAATAATGATAACGAGAACAAGGTCAATCATATGTAACTGACAACAGTTTTCAGCATTTCGATACATTTACACTACCATTATTATGAATCCATCTATTCTGAAATATGTAACAATCATTGACAACAAACATTACAGAATGATTTTAATTAAACAACCAAGTGATAACCAGGAAGCAATGGATAACTGTTCCACCTTAGTATGTAACTCCACTGAAGTGTATATCTGTAGTGTGTGGTCTTTTATCAATCCAAGTAGCTTCTGAACAAACCAATATATCCAAGCTACTCAAGCTACATGTTGACCTTGTTAATCATTCACTTATCACTCCTGACCGTTTTTATATGAACATATATGTGTGTACATCTTATCCTACTCATCACATGTCTATAGATTAGTTTTATATGACTATAAATATTGATTAATGCTTCATGAAATGAAGTTGGCTCACACGCCTTCGCCACTACACGTCATTTCGCTTTACTCTATTCTCTTCGTTTTGTCCCAGATCACCGAGTGTAAACAATATATGTAATCAAAAACCTATTCTTGTATTTGACTTATTTGGTTCCGTTATTCAATAAAGGGATTTAAGTCAATAATTATATACGACGATAGCCGACATATGTATTTCAATAGAAATCAATCGTACGATCTAATTGGAGTCAGATACAGAGCTACTAAACATCAATGTTTTGAAAATTACAGATCAAATGCAGGACATTTAGTTTCTCTCATCAACGCTTGAACTTAAGACTACTGAGCACTGTATTTCATACATGTATTGGATCTAACAGCAGACGTTGCTAGTCATGTGAATTCATTAGAATGAATTCGAAAAACGAATGGTAGGTAACACAATACTTTGTCTGTAAGATAGTACACACAATCTTCGAGCCGGCATAAATCAGTAAAGTGAAGCTTCATTAATGAATGATCA